GGGCGGGTTCACTTCTTTGCATGTAATGTTCTCTGAATATTAGGAAGTGACAGTTCTTCAAGCCAAATCTTAACAATAGCAGCCAACATGAACTGGAACTACCTTTTCTTCCTACATATGCATGGAAAAAATAAATCTGCAAACAGTTATAATGCACAACAAATAAGAATGAAGTTGTGCTTCTGCATTTAGACGCTTTGTGGATGTAAAAGTTCGGTCTGACTTCCTCCCAACAGTGAAAAACTGCCAAAAACAGTCTGATGTTAAATATGTTTAAATTTGGTATAAGAGAAGATGTTGCATAGATCCTAATATGGTCAGTGAATACACAGCTCAGATTAAAGCAGCGTAGCTGCTGCATAACTGAATATTCTCATTTTGAGTTTGGGTTTCATTTTTGCTCCGAGGCTGAGGGAACTGTTCCCTCTGGATGTGTGGAGAACGTTTTTGGATCATGGTCAGAGTGGCAGAAGAAAATGACCCCTGATGGACCTCAGTGTGATACGTGCTGAAAAGCTAGCAGGGTCTCCTTTAAGAGGAAGTGAAAGCAGTGAGATTCTCCGTCTCTGAGGAGAGCGCCTCAGACCTGGTGGGAGAAAACCGAAACGTCCCGACGGCGATCGTTCATTTCAGCATTTTGTTTGCTGGTCTTGTTCTTTTGTTTCCTGGAAGGACTTTATTTTAAAGGATGGGGACTTCCACATGTTGAATCAGAGGTTTCTGTTCATTTTGTTTTGATTTTTAGTTTTTTTTTCAACCACAACTGTTCAAAAATGTAAAAATATCCATGGGAAAAGTTCCATCTGACAGATTTTAGCTAAAATTAAAACTAAATAACGCAGCTTTAGTCCACAAACTCATTTCTGTACGTCAAACATTTACCGCTTTCACCAGCGCGCTAATGTTTAAATCGTTTGCGTGTTTGTGTCCCCACAAACCCAGCGTCCCCACAAACCCAGCGTCCCCACAAACCCAGCGTCCTGGCTGTCGAGACAGAGCGTGGCCATGCTGGACAGGAAGCAGCACCTTGTTAGTAAAAGGAGGTTAAAGGTTGACGTTGGCTCAGAGGGTACCTTCTGTGCTCCAGAGAAGGCATGGTAGAAACTGGACACATAAGTCATTATGGCTTTCTCATCTGGGCGAGCAGTGTTCACAATGTCTACAAGTCGGGGGGAGACCATGGTTATGAAGACGCACACATACAGGCAAGACACAGGACGAGTGATTACACAATAACAACAAGACGCACACAAACTCATTTAACGAGCTGCTGTAGCTGCCAACAGTAGACATGCAAACACAACGAACACAACGACACACACACACGTAGACGCACACAGCTCAGGTACAGTTAATACACAACTTGATTTTTCCTGTAGAGTTTGAAGCAAAAAGAAAAAGTGGCATCCTGTGAAGGAAACGTGGATGTTCAACACGGTCACACATACAGATGAA